ATCACTTTTGTTTTTATTCGACCAAATGTAACAATATTAACAATAAAAATGACCAGGTGACCACTGATAATTTATATTCTCATTTCAAATGAACACTATACAAACCAGTTTGGTACTGCTTGTTGTAGTAAAAGTGGGTAACTGAACTTCCCTTTATTACATTCCTGGTTTTATATCTATGCGAGTCTTCAGTAGATTAGAACTCTATAATAATTTGCAATCAGGGCTGTAGGTACCAACTGATGACACAGATGTCATGTCCTCAGTATTTCTTCAATGAATTTGAGGGTTTTAGCTCCCTGGGGAGAGATTACTGTACGTTCTATAATTTAAAACATATACATGGTTGTGTTTTATAGGCCGTATTTATAGACTCTTGTATATTTAAATCTAGTACTTTTAGGTCAATGAATAAATTAGGTAAGAAAAGATGAAACTTCATTGATCCCGAGGGGGAAAATTGAGCAAATTAGAAAATAAGTAAATGAAGAATTGGCATGATTATCTTTCAGACAGCGAGAAGAAGGTTCCTTCATGCTTCATTTCAACAACTATAACATTAAACGCTTCTGAAATACATTACCTACCCTAACTTAAATGTCCCTGACAACATTTGTAGTCTCATTTAGCCACTTGTTTGCAACTAAATGCTCCAAAATTCATAAGGTTTTTACTGACACATTTTATGTTGTAGCATACAACGTGAACATCTCTTAACCTCGTGCCACAGACCTTATTTCAGGCATCTAACCAAAAATGTATGATGTGACCTGTCACAGTGGACTCCCCACAAAGCTGACCCACCATTTTAAACCGTGTTAAAAGTTCTCCCTGGCATTATTCACATCTCATTAACTCCATAAAAGACTATCCAATGAGTCAGCATAGTTTGATATCTAGCAAGCAGTTGGCTTGACATATTTTTTTACTTTAAAAGTAATACATTCAGTACATTTAATGTTTAACAGTAATACTAGTGTTATAGAAAAAAAAGTTGCAGACCTAATGCATGTATGTAGTCAAATCCTCTAAAAGCTCTAAGCTTAAGTGGAGTGTCTCTACCTGCCATTTCCAGTTGGCTGGGTCAGATAAGCTGCCAGAGTTTTACAAGAATATCTAAGTAATCTATAAATCTCTTACATGTCCTAAAGTGTCTGTACTTTAATAAATAAACCTGTGAAATATATATTTCTCTTACAGTTAGTTTCAGTCATCTAGGTTTATGTGACACAAAGTTATAAGTGTGAAAGAAACAAGTGTATATGGAAATATTTTATAGTGCAAAGCATCCCCTGGGCAAAGCATGTACTGCTACAACAGCCTACAGTGTGTTTTTGAGGTGGGTGTCAGAATTAATTCCCCATCATTAACCAACAGTTTTCTCTCCCCATTTTTCTTGTATTATGTTGGCTATGATGATTTTAGCTAAAAATCATTGTGGGAAAAAAAAGTACAGGTTTTAAAAAACTAAAATTAATCAAAATCTATTTAATTTGCAACAGCACAAACATTCAAATTCCACACATGCTAAAAATAAGATCACAACTGTTTGGAGAAACAATTCATTTTGAAACTGACTGATAGCACTATGTTTTAACTGATGGAGGTAGTTTAGAAACATATGGGAGTCAATTCCTTGAATAAATTTTACAGACTAAACAAGAGTTATTTAATGATGAACTTAATGTAATCATGTTTATTTTTTCCAAAATGCAAACTGTAGTTGATACTGTTTTAGAGATATTCAGGCATACTATTCCCAACTTTCTGCATGTGTGTTGCTATTTTTCTACCTAAGTGGGAGTAAATAAGCTTTTTCAGGATCTCACACAAAGGCTAGTTTTAAAGTTGCGACCATTTCCCTGTGCCTTATTCTGCTGATTGCATGTTCCGAAGATATGTGCTGCTGCGCTGTAACTCAACTGAAGACACCACTGAAAGCATCTGCAGCTTTCGTCCCCATACGCTGAGGCAGAACTGGAATCATTGCAAAGTCAATAACTCCAGAAGGATTTACATTCTGCCTCTAATGAGCAATCAAAAAGGATTAAACCAATCCTTTGAAAATTAACCTCAGACGCATTGATTTTTATAATTAATGTATTTAGAAATGCATGCACATCATAATTCCGAAATTGTTGCAGTGGTTTTCTGCTTTGTCAAACTACAATGCAGCAACTTTTATTTCAACAGTCCCCCCATCCAAATCAATCTTTCTTTCAGCAAAAATACATTTTACAAGATTCAGATACTGTATATTGTTGTTACTATGCAGTAGCCAAAGGTTGTACCATATGGTTAAAGCACCAGTACCTCCCTACACACATTCCTTTACTGCTATGAGCCTCTAAAGCCCTCTCCAAGGAATGGGCTTTAGATCTACTGTAGATCTACTGTTGAGTCCAAACAACAGACTGGCATCAGTCTTGAATGCTTCTCCTGATGGGAGTCTAGCAGCTGTTGCTATAGGATTATGAGCTCACTGTCTTTTCTCATGGTATAGCAAAGCTTTACAGTAATGCTCCGTCATCGTGCTTATTGCTGCTGTTCTCATCAGCTGTTTCACTTTGAAGGCCACTCCAGGCTCTTATCTTTTTGTTATGTATACTGGACACAATAAAGCTGTGTGTTCCCACAGTGGTCTTTAGAGAATGTGGAGCTTTTATGTATTGTGGAAAGACTGGCTGGGATCCAACATTTTCCGCAGGTTCACTGCCGTTTTCATTTGTGTGTGTGTATTTGCCAGCCTCCCTGCATCACATACATTATAGATTAGTTGTGTTGTCCTGTGTTTGATCCTAGTGGAAGGCAGATTTGGAGATGGGAGGTTGTTCATTGGTTGGAGATGGCCCTGGTGTAACCCCAGACCTCCTCTATCACCTGAATTCAGCCCAGCTGGCATCAGTGACTGTGCTGAAATGAACATAATGTATCTAGCTGACAGAGAAAGTCAGACAAAGGCAGAGAGATAGGTCCGAGTGTACCACATTCATTTGTCACAGTTAGTGTATGTTAGTACAGCAAAGCTTAATGGGAATGAAATGTTTTTTTTAAATAATAATGCTTTTTTAAAGATTTGTATTTTTGCCCTGCTCTGTATGGTTTGTGTTTGTATCTACTACTGATATTCTGTGAGAACACCATTGTCCTGAACTCAGTACCAATGATTAAAGTACTCTGTTTTAAATTATATTACGTTCACGCTAAACAACAAAAAACACTGAGTCACACTCTTACCTTACACTTGCCAAGGTTTTTAATTGTGGTCTTTTTCAGATTTAGTCATATTAGGCTACTCAATTACGAGATGTACATACTATACCTTTTTAGCCATGCCAAGTAGCGGTGGGGCTTTGGTGGTAGTATCTCAAAAACCATTGGATAAATATCCAAATTTAGTAAAGATCATTAATTTTCCCCCAGAGGATAAATTGCGATAACAATCACCATTATCATGTCAGTTTTTTTTATTTGTCTCATTCTTTGTTTTATGGCCAAATACCTGCAAAACGAGATCAATGTCATTCCCATCAGCTTCAGCTGTACTTTGTGTTAAGTGCTAATTGGCCGCTAGCGTGTCTCTGTTTTATTGAAAAACACCAGTGAAAACTAGACAATATGGTATCTGGTTTTGTACTAGTGATTTTTAGTCCTAATTGATAACGTGAAATCTTTACAAAACTGTAATTCACCTTTCCAACATTCACCTTTGAAAACGAATATAAACTGTGTACCCACTAAATTAGAATTTAAAAATACCCCAGAGTGCTTTAAACATGATCCTTAATAAAACATTTGTGCTGAAACAAGTTTTCAAATGGCGACCAGAAATCAAAAAGGCTGGCTGAAATAAGTTTTCTTTCTGCCATTCTGCTCTCAGATTTATCACAGGCGATAACCACAGCACTAATCATTACTTACATCACAGAAAAATTGACTGGCCATCTCGTTCTATCTGTAGGGAGCAGCCTCCTCTGCTCTGGGCTCTGCTCTTAGCAGTCACGCCTATTGTTCCACTTGCCACCAGCATGGATAACTGTGTTCCACTGCCACACACAGTCTGCCGCTGCTTACTGGAAACCTCTCAACCAAAGCAGCAAGCAGGGCAGCTGTGAGCAAATCTAAGAGCAAATCAACCAGTGCTAATGCATCAGTGGTTCCCCACTGGTTAAACATTAAGAACCCATTTCCTGCTTGATTATTTATGACCCCCCTGGATAGACTAGATATAGTCTTGGTTTAATTATGCTGTGCAACCTATGAGCTGCATATCACAGTGACAGTGAATAAATCTGTCATTGGGAGACACCTGAAGAAATTTAGTCCCTTGGCATTAATTCAATACTTAATCTTTCCTTGAATAGAATACAGTTTGCTCTCAGTATTACAGTTGGTTTAACAACAGGAGGGTTCTCTGCGGTAGGAAGCTCCATGTTACCACATAATTAATAAAAGGGGCAGCCACTTTACAGTCTTGATACAATGCTGCCCTCTGCTGAAAGATGAAGTGAAATTCACTTACTGTATTCATTCTTTTGCTTATTTGTTTCTAGATTGTAGTTGATTGACAGTGGGTGGATTTTTCATTTTGTTTTTTTATATTATCTTATCACAGTATCGGCTAAGCTAACCTAAAATTAACTCAGTACTGTCAAAATGTGCTTATATTGGGTTCTTTGCTTTAGTATATTTATTATTTATATGTATTATTCACACCATTGATGTTTTCTGTATTACATTCCATGTCACTGCGTGAATATAAATGTATGTACATTTTTAATGCATATGTGATAACCTTAGTGAACAGATGTACATGTGTTTTGCAGCATCAATACATTATTTCAGTTATTTGCTTTTCATGTGTGATGGCTCCTCCATAATGAATGTAAAAAGGGGAAAAAAGGCAATCCAATAAAAATTTGGTCACAAAAAAAACATACTACATTATAACTGGCTGGCTCTTTAATGCTGTCTATTCTCTCTTTCTCTCTGTCTTGCAGGTATTTTATTTTCAACGTTAGTGTTTGGCCCAGCCTGTGGCTTCATCTTAGGTTCTGTCTGTACCAAAGTCTATGTTGATGCTGTTTTCATCGACACCAGTGAGTTGGCATTTGCATTTCTTCAGATTCTGCCTTGAATATTGTTCATTTGTTCAATGCAATAGTTACATTTGTATTTACCTTACTGCACAATAGAGGAATACCACAATACTATACTATACTATACTATAATTATATAAAAATTATTAACAGGTGCAATTTACTTTTACTAAAATCCAATTCATGTGGCAACATCAATTCAACATCCACCCTACCTCCTGTCCAGGTAAGCTGGACATCACCCCAGATGACCCTCGCTGGATCGGGGCGTGGTGGGGCGGCTTCCTCCTCTGCAGTGCCTTACTCTTCGTGTCGTCCCTCTTCATGTTTGGCTTCCCCCAGGCGCTGGATGAGCAGGACATGGACAGTGGGGGGGAGAGTGAGCAGGCCATGCTGCCTTCTTCCCTGAACCTGGAGTACCAGGGCTCTAAACCCAACGGGGCCATTCACGGGTTTGATATAAATAGCGGACTCACAGTTTGTGAGCATCTGAGAGGTAAGGAGGAGCAAAAAAGAGTTGAAGAGAAAAAAGATTTGGTAAATGCTAAAGCTCAGAAATTATCATGATTTTCTTTTTCTCTGTCCTTCCTAACCCTTCTCTTTGTTCTTTTCTCTCTCTCTACCTGTTCTACCACTAATCATATCCTCTTTGTCTCCATTTTCTTCTCCATTGACCCAGTAATCCCCCGGGTAACCAGGCACCTTCTCTCTAATCCGGTGTTCAGCTGCATCACGCTGGCAGCCTGCATGGAGATCGCTGTGGTTGCTGGCTTTGCTGCCTTCCTGGGAAAATACCTGGAGCAGCAGTTCAACCTTACCACCTCCTCAGCTAATCAGCTGCTAGGTAGGTGTCCCATAATCTTGTCTGAGTGGAGGGCAAACCTTTTTTGTTCCCAAAGTGTTTTACCATTAAACCATCAGGGGCAGGGCAGGGCAGGACAAACCAAAATAAGTAAGAAGCATAATGACAACATTTTGTGCAGTGCAAACCTCTACTAAGAAAAAGGTCCGTAGATTTTTGGGAAACATTGTGCATCCTTGTGTTTTCCTCCCCAGGTATGACGGCCATCCCCTGTGCCTGTCTGGGTATCTTCCTTGGCGGGCTGCTGGTGAAGAAGCTGAACCTGTCAGCCCTGGGCGCTGTCCGCATGGCCATGCTTGTCAACCTGGTGTCCACCGCCTGCTACGTCTCTTTTCTCTTCTTGGGCTGTGACACCGGACCTGTCGCCGGGGTTACAGTCGCCTACAGCAACGAGTAAGCAGAGAAACCTATTGATGAGGAGTCTTTTCAAGGATTTCAAGGACCAAAGTACTATACGGGTCTTGTTGTTGATAGTTATGCATGGCTTACACTTCATACCTGCTAAATAGAAAAAATATGCAACAAAAAAAAGCAACTGCTCTCACGTGGTTAAAAAAGAAAATGCACAAACAATACAATGTATTGCAAGTGTGTTGTTTTGTTTGCATTAATATTTCATTCAGCATTCAAGTTAGCCAAAAAAGACCACTCTTGTCACTATGGAAGACAAGATGGTCAAGCAGGGAGGTTTTTGTTGCTGATTTATTGAGCTTCACCATAATTGTGCATTAACAGTAAAATATCAGCAATTCTTCATATCTTTAATATGATGTCTCAAATTACAGATAACAAGCCCACAGGGGAGAAAATTGCTTAAGTGCTGTACTCTATGGGTTGAAACTTTACATAATAATTTACTGATTACATTGTGCCATTAGTGTACAACGGTTAAATATTCTGCCCATAGAGTTCAATATGTAATCAATTGCTGATTTATTCTTTAAAAATGTATCTATAAATTAATGTCCATGCAGCATCAAAATTATACAAAAGTGAGACAATTGTTGTTGTGTTTATTTCCATTTGATGTGAACACCATACATATACTACCTAACATGACTTTTGACCTCCTCCATAGGACGTTGCTGTCCTGGCAGCGACCTGAGTCAGCGTGCATCAATAACTGTAACTGCTACACAGCATCAGTGAGCCCTGTCTGTGGTTCCAATGGAGTCACCTACCTCTCAGCCTGCTTTGCAGGCTGCACCAAACCAGTGAGTGAAGAAGTTAACACTGAAACAAGATGTATCATGACTAACCTTGGACACTGGAGAAAACTAAATGACAGGGACAAAAAACATACTTACTTACTTGTTTGAATAAGAAGAGGCTTTACCGTCTCCAGTCTATTTAGAACTCTTCTAATTCACATTAGCAAAAGAGTGCACACTACACCTGTTGTAGCTTCCAGTCCAGTTTACAATTCATTTTAAAATACTGCTCCTTACTTTCAGAGCCTTGCACAGACAAGCTCCTCTTTACATCTCTGACTTGATACAGCTTCATACTCCCATCTTAGGTCATCAGGTCAGAGGCTATTAGTGGTTCCCGACACTCATTTTAAGACCAAAGGCAATTGATCATTTCAAGCAGTGGCACCTTGGCTGTGAAATGCATTGCCTCCCTTTCTGTGTGTTTAAATTCTGTTGATTCTATAATAAAAAGCAACTGAAGACTATGTTATTCAAACAGGCTTCTAGTTAGACAAGAGTTTTATGGCTATCTAATTTATGTTTTTACTATTTTTTTCAGATTTTAATAAATTGTATCTCACCTTATTGTGAAGCACAGTTATTACCTGTGAAAGGTGCTATATAAATACATCTTACTGACTTACTTACTTACATACAGTGCAGCGGTCATGCTTTAGATCTACATATTCAAAGTGGGATAACAACATTTTGCATTTCTCCTTTGTGTCAGAACCTGACCAGCTGTACGTGTATATCCAGCACCAGTGAAGATGCGGTGGCTTTACCAGGAAAGTGTCCCAGTCCAGGCTGTCAGCAGGCCTTTCTCACCTTTCTGTGTGTTATCTGCGTGTGCAGTATGATCGGAGCTATGGCCCAGACACCCTCTGTCATCATCCTTATCAGGTAAGGAGACCTGTTGCTATACGTAGACTGCCCACAAGAGGGAGCTCTTGACACTTATGGCTAATCAAAGGCAAAATGATGAAATCAGAGTCACTTCAGTCATCTGTGGTACAGAGAAAGATAATACTGACACACAGGGTAACATTATGTTGCGTACCCTGTCAAAGAACATTGTAGGGTACAGAGCTGCAGGTGATCACATGAATATGAATACCACTCTACACAGATATAGTAAATAATGCCTATCTTTCTACATATTAAAGAATGCTTCAGGTTTATTACTTATTCTAATATTAGTGGCCACATTTAAATAGAAGTACATTATTATTACAGATTGAAAAGCATTGCACTAACCAAGTTAACTGCTGTGATCTGGGAACATGGCAACATTGCTAAAAAGAAGGCAGCAGGGAATTGAACACGGGCAGTCAGAGGATTATTCAGATTTTTAGAAAAACATTTTGGGAAATACTTAATTGCTTCCTTGCCAAGAGTTAGATTTGAAGGTCAGTACTGTCATGTCTGTCCAATAAATACAAGCTTCAGTCAGCTGCTGGTTAGCTTAGCTTAGCATAAGACTGGAAACAGGTTGAAACAGCTAGCCTGGCTCTGTCCAAAAATAACTAAATCCACCTACCAGGACCTCTAAAACTTAACAATTAACACTTTATATTTTGTTTGTGAAATTTGAGCAAACAAAGAAGTGTAAAAACGACTGTTTACTGGGAGTTATGTGCAAGGTATTTGTTGGCGGGCACCAAGTCTCGTCGTCACAGTTAGTTTGCAAGGACACTGGAAAACTCGAGCTTTGTATTAATTGTGCAGATAT